GGGGATGCCTCTGCACCGGTCCCTGGCTGGGCTGTGGGATTGGCTGCTGGCTTTGCAGAACCTGTCAGACATGTTCAAACTGAGCATGAGGGAGCTCGGTCTGCCCCTGTAACCCTGCTCCCCCCTGTCCCCCCTTTCCCCTCAGGACCAGGTCTCGAAGGACAAGGCTCTGCAGAGCATGGCTTCCATGTCCTCGGCGCAGATTGTGTCGGCCAGCGTCCTGCAGAACAAGCTCAGCCCCCCTCCTCCTCTTCCTCAGGCCGTCTTCTCTGCTGCCCCCAGGGTGAGGACAGCCCCAGGGCCCCCAGGTGGGGACACCCCGGGGTGGTGGGGACACCGTGGGCTGCACACGGGGCAGGGGGTGTTCAACAGCCGTTCTCAGCCGTGGGGCAATGCAGGGCTCCCTGCTGTTTGCAGCAGGTCAGGAGGGAAATGTTGGGAGTGGAGAGTCAGAAGTCACTGACTCTTCTCTGTGCTGTTTTCCCAGTTTTGGAGTGGGCCTATCCCAGGACAGCCTGGACCCTCTCAGGAGTAAGTACAGACCCCTCCACACCTGGCACCAGCAGGACCCCACCTTGGCAAGGGGCTGGGGCATCCTGGGCTTGGTAACCTGATGATGCTTTTTCCTTTCCAGCATTAAACCGTTTGCACAACCAGCTTACCCCATCCAGCCACCCATGCCTCCATCACTAGCCAGTAAGTGATGTCCTTACCCCCTTGGAGGGGACCCAGTGTCCCTGCCATGTCATATTTGTCCCCTCCCACGCACGGTGCCACCCACCTGTGCCTCCTCCCCAGCTCTACAGGGGGAAAAGCCTGGGCTGAAATCCAGCAAAAAGCGACCAGGACCCTGCAGTCCCTCCCCACCCAGCACACCCCATGTTCTAGCCACGCTGTGCTGGGCCCTGTGGGAGGGTGGGGGATGCAGTGGGGACAGCAGCATTGCAGGGGGGGCTCCCCCCGGTTCCTGGCTGCCCCTCCACCCTCGTGTCACTCCCCTGGCCCAGGTTACGAGCCCTTGGCTCCGCTCCCGCCAGCTGCCTCGGCCGTGCCGGTCTGGCAGGACCGCACCATCGCCTCCACCAAGCTCCGGCTGCTCGAGTACTCCGCCTTCATGGAGGTGCCCCGGGACGCCGAAACGGTAACGGTCCCCTCCTCCAGCCCGCCTGGGGTGGTGCCCATCCCTCCCCGTGCCCGGTGGCACCTTCCTCTTGCCTGACCTCTCCTGCTGCTGTCCCCACCCCGCTCCCTACAGTACAGTAAACACCTCTTCGTGCACATCGGCCAGACCAACCCCTCGTACAGCGACCCGCTGCTGGAGGCCGTGGACATCCGCCAGATCTACGACAAGTTTCCCGAGAAGAAAGGCGGCCTCAAGGAGCTCTATGAGCGTGGGCCCCAGAACTCCTTCTTTCTCGTCAAGTTTTGGGTATGCTGCTGGGAGGGTTAGGGTGGGGAGGGTCATGCTTGAGCTCTGAAAGCTTCTGGGGCTGCAGCATCCTGGGCAGCTCTGAAAGCTGGTGTACCTCGTCCCCATCGAGAGCTGGGCGTGGTGGTGCCTCATAGGACCCTCTGTCCCTCTCCTCTCTTCAGGCGGATCTGAACAGCACGATCCAGGACGGGCCAGGGACCTTCTATGGTGTCAGCAGCCAGTACAGCAGTGCAGAGAACATGACCATCACAGTCTCCACCAAGGTGTGCTCCTTTGGGAAGCAGGTCGTGGAGAAGGTGGAGGTGAGTTCCGTGCCCCACTGGGTGGGGAAGGGGTCAGAGTTGCTGCACGGTGGGTCCTGGGATGGAGAAAATCCCAGAGCTGGGTGTAGAACACATGGGTGGAGTGGAGAGGACGCTGTTGTGTCCCAGCTGGGCACCACCACCCATGGGACAGCTGCTCACCCTGCTGTCCCCTGCAGACGGAGTATGCACGGCTGGAGAACGGCCGGTTCGTCTACCGCATCCACCGGTCTCCCATGTGCGAGTACATGATCAACTTCATCCACAAACTCAAGCACCTCCCAGAGAAGTACATGATGAACAGTGTCCTGGAGAATTTCACCATCCTGCAGGTACCTCCCCTCCTTTTCCAGGGGGTGTGTCCCACCAGGAGCGTGGAGCCCACACTTGCACCCACCCTGCTGGCCCCACTTCCCCACAGACCCTGAGTTCCAGGGAGCAGATCTTGGTGCTGCAGACAAAGTGGCCGTGCCCAAGCCTGGACAAGTCTACCAGATAATAGGGACTAAAATAGGGTGCAATTAAATTGGCTGTGCCTGAGTTTGTTTGACTTCACCAAATAATCCGTAGCAGTTTTTGGTGGTGCAAATGCAGTGGCTGGGCCTGAGCCAATGCAACCTCCCCCAAACAAATTTTTGGTGGTGCAGTTTGGGCTGTTCGTGAGCCTGTGCGACATCCCTAAAACTGGGTAGCAAATCTTGATGGTGCAATTAAATTGGCCTGTGTGACCCCACAAATAACGGGTAGCAAACCTTTTCATGGTGAGAAGTGGTTGTGGCTGAGCCCAAACAACCCCCCAGAAAACGGCACAGGCACAGCACTGCCCTAACACCCTCTGCTCTGCTGCAGGTTGTTACCAACAGGGATACCCAGGAAACCTTGCTCTGCATTGCCTTCGTTTTCGAGGTGTCCACCAGCGAGCACGGCGCCCAGCACCACGTGTACAAGTTGGTCAAGGACTAGGGGCCCTTGGGGACAGGCAGGGGCACGAGGGGCGTGCAGGGGAGGGAGGGGGCCCTGCAGAAATGCCACCCGTGCCTGTTGCCTTGTGAGAAGTCATTTGAAGACAGGAGGAAGAAGGAGGAGGAAGAAAAACAATAGCCAAAAAAAGACTGACTTGTGATCGCAGATGTTTTCTACTTAGGAACAGTTTCTTTTTTTTTTTTTTTTTTTAATAAATAAATAAAATTACCAAAAAAAAAAAAAAAAGGAAGAAAAAAGAAAGAGACAAGAAGAATAGGAAAGGAAGTGTAGGGAGAAAGGAAACCCACATCTGGTGCTGGAGAGGGAGAGAGCAGCCCTCGGAGTTGCTGATGAAGGCCAGGATCCCCCCGTGCCAGCAGAAGGAGCAGCAGGATGCTGGAGCAGAGAACGACCCCTCCTTCCACCCCCAGCCTCGCTCAGAAGCGGCCCCGAGGAGAGAGGAGCAGAGAGCAGCGAGCACTGACCGCAGGAGGATGCAGCACCGTGCCAGGTCTGAAACTGATTGGCACAGCAGCGTTGGCACCGCGTGGCACAGCCCAGGGAGGACGTGGGGATGGCGTGCAGGGCAGGGCAGAGTGCAGGAGGGGGACACTGCCACCCCCCAGGGATGCTCCTTCTCCATGCCCAGCTGGGGCACTGGGAACCAGTGGCAGTGAAGGTGTGAGGGCATTGACAATGCAAACCATGGGGGTTTATGGCTCCTTTTTTACCCTTTTTTTTTTTTTAATGAAAATTAATTTTTTTTTTAATACTTTTTAAAAAGACACCATGCTTGTAATCAGGCTGATGGCCCTCTGCAGTGCCCAGGTGCTCCCTTCCCACCCTGCAAGGGAAGTGTCTTGTTTAGGGAAAGGTTTGGGATGCCTCCATCTCTGGCTGGGTTTTGTGGGGGATTCCTTGAGCTGTGTACTTTCAGGAATTGCACTTGGGGGGTGGCCCAGGCTCGGTGTCCCCACTGTGGTGCTTGCTGAGGAGTCATGAGTAGAGAGCAGTGAGGGCAGATTGCCTGATTTATTTGGTATATGTACATTTTCCTTGTTTCGGATTTTGTTTTTGTTGGGGTTTTTTTTTGTTTTGTTTTTTGTTTTATTTTTTTTTTTGTTCTTTCACCTTTTTTTGCCTTTTTTTCTGCAATGACTGTTCCAAACTGCTCCATCCGCTCTCCTGCATCCTGTGGGAAGTGGCCAGGGAGGGGAAAAATATATTGAGCAATGCAGGGCCAAGCTGTCAGTGGGCAGAGTTTGGGACAGAAAGGACAGAGACAGAGAGGGGACAGAGAACAGGAGGGATGCCAGGGTAAGGGACTGGGTCAGCTTGGAGGTATTTTTGTGGCTGCAGCCCAAAGTAAGCCAAGGCAGAGTGCCCAGTCTTGAGGCTGCAACTGCAAGGGCAGAGTCTGGGGAAAGCAAGCCCAGGGTGCAGGAGGGTGACAGAGGGGACAGAGGTGGCGGGAGCAGGGTGGCAGGAGGCTGGCAGGGGGACAGAGAGCCCGAGGTGGCCAGGTCTGGATGGATTTCTCATGTTGGCAGGGAAGTGAAGGCAGTGGGAAGGAGGGCAGGAGTGTTTTGAGGGGCACTGCAGCCACTTTGGGGGGGGCACGGGGCAGGTTTAGGCTCAGTGCTGCCAGTGCAAGGAGCAGGAATAGCCCCAGAGCTCAGGAAAGCGCCTTGGCTGCCACCTTGATGCCACATGTGCTGTGAGGCATGGGGACTTCACCCCCTTACTGCTGGGAAAAGCCACCCAGCCCTGTGGGGTGGGGCAGAGCCATCCCAGCCCCGTGCCAGGCCGAGGGCTCAGTGGTGGGACTGGGCTGTGAGCAGGGCAGACGGAGCAGGAAGAGAAAGAGAGAGGGGAAAATCCAAGGCCAGGCACTGTCAAGCCATGCCAGGGCTGTGCTGGGGCTCTCTGGCCAAGTTCTCATATGTAGCATGTTTGTTTGTCGTTTTGTAGGTTTTTTGGTTTTTTTTTTTTTTTTTTTTTTTTTTTTCTTCTGTTTCACTCACTGATCTAAAACTCTGGGAATGAAAACTCAAAACTCCCCCACCATAAAACACAAACGTGCCCCGCTCCCAGCCCCAGTGGGGACGAAGCTCTTTGTTAACTGGACCGGTTTGTGCCTCCATCCCTCCCTCCCTCCTGCCTGCACCGAGCCCAGGGCTCACACTGCACCCCACGCACACAGACTGGTGCCCCCAGCAGCCCTGGCTGGGCTTTAGTCATGATCCCAGAGACACTTTCTCAACTCCCCCAGCCCCTCCGTTCGCCTCCAGTGTATTTATGAATTTCACATGAAGTACTGTTTTATTTTTTTAAAGACTTTGTAAAGCTTACCAGGGTTACAATCACCATTTTTAGAGCTGCGTCAATCCACAATGTTAAAAATCCATTTTTTTTTATGTATTATATTTTTTGTGTATTTTTTTTTAATCCAGCTGTGATGGGTTGTATCATATATTTGTTGTGTTTACTGTATCTGTCCAACTTCAAAGAGAGGAGACTGTGGAGCTCCGGGAAAACTACGGTCTGCTGAAAAAAACCATTAAAATTATTTGTTCATGGGTTGGCTCAAGCAGTTCTGAAGTTCATATTTTATTTCTTGGTATTTTCTTTGACATGCAGGACTATGAAAACTGCCACGTCCCATGTAACCCCTTGGCTGGGTAACGCTTCTCCTGGGACCCCAATTCTGGGTACCAAGATGTGTTTTGCTCTAGTTTGCATCGCTGCTGCAGGGTTTCCTTGGGAAAAGTTGGGTTGGCCATAGACGCTTCCCTGTGCCTTCCCACAGCATCCCTGGGTTCAGAACACCTTTCGGGGGTCGCACCTTCGCTCACAGGGTGACAGAGAGCTGCTCTGCCCCACCACTCACCAGCCCCGCTCCGAGCGCTGCTCGCGGCTGTTCGGTGTTCCCATCCTTCACTCGGGGACACGCGCGACGTGTTTCACCCCCGCCCGAGCCCCGCCATCCCTCCCGCACCCCCAGCACACCCCGCCGGGCCCGCCGCCCTTCCCGGCCCCGTTCACACCCCCCGGCCCCGGTGCCGGTCCTGCCCCTTCCGCCCCGCTCCGCTGCCTGCCGGGACGCGTAGTCCCGCGGCCCCGCGCCGCTCCGGCCCGTGCAGGTCCGCGCTCGGCCCCGCCATCGCCGCGCTGCTCCCGGCCCCGCTCCGCCTGTTGCTCCGATCCTCCGGTTACCCCGCCCGTCCTGCGGCTCCGATCCTCCTGCTGCTCCGATCCTTCCATCGCCCCGCTCTTCCTGCTGCTCCGATCCTCCTGCGGCTCCGCTCCGCCGCTTACCCCGCTCCTCCTGTTGCTCCGATCCTCCCGGCCCCGCTCCCCCGCTTGCCTCGCTCTTGTCCCCGCTCTCATTTTCCCCCGCTTGCCCCGCTCCTGTCCCCGCTCCTTGTCCCGCTCCTGTCCCCGCTCTCCTGTTGCCGCTGTCCCGCTCCTGTCCCCGCTCTCCTGTCCCCGCTCCTGTCCCCGCTCTCATTTTCCCCCGCTTGCCCCGCTCCTGTCCCCGCTCCTTGTCCCGCTCCTGTCCCCGCTCTCCTGTCCCCCCACTTGCCCCGCTCCTGTCCCCGCTCTCATTTTCCCCCGCTTGCCCCGCTCCTGTCCCCCTGCTTGCCCCGCTCCTGTCCCCGCTCTCATTTTCCCCCGCTTGTCCCGCTCCTGTCCCCGCTCCTTGTCCCGCTCCTGTCCCCGCTCTCCTGTTGCCGCTGTCCCGCTCTTGTCCCCGCTCTCCTGTCCCCCCGCTTGCCCCGCTCCTGTCCCCGCTCCTGTCCCCGCTCCTTGTCCCGCTCCTGTCCCCGCCCTCCTGTTGCCGCTGTCCCGTTCCTGTCCCCGCTCCTTGTCCCGTTCCTGTCCCCGCTCTCATTTTCCCCCGCTTGCCCCGCTCCTGTCCCCGCCCCTTGTCCCGCTCCTGTCCCCGCTCCTTGTCCCGCTCCTGTCCCCGCCCCTTGTCCCGCTCCTGTCCCCGCTCTCCTGTTGCCGCTGTCCCGCTCCTGTCCCCGCTCTCCTGTTGCCGCTGTCCCGCTCCTGTCCCCGCCGCATCCCGCGGGGAGCGCCCCTGGGGGCTCAGACTTGGGAGAAGCCGCCGGCATTAATTAGCGCGGCTCAGGAACGGGATGAGCCCGCCGGGTAATCCCGCCGGGACAGGCAGAGCCCGGCTGCCCGCAGCGCCGTCCTGGAGCTCCGGGGCTGCTCTTTTTAGCTTCTAAACCGAAAATTGGACAATCTCACGGGGCTCGGGCAGGGGGAAGCGGAGCTGGCGGAGCGCTGGGGCTGCCGGGGTTTGGGGTGCCGAAAAGGATGTCCCATGCCCGTGCCTTGCTGCCCCACTTTGAAACCAGGATGAAAGCCCATCCTGGAACACAACTCACTGACAGGCAGAGGGGTTGAGCCCTGTAGCCCACTCCTGGCCCACCGGTGTCCCCAGCCACTGCATGTAGGGTCGCATGGGTGGTTTGGGTACATGGATCCCTGTACGGGGGCACTTTAGGGTTCGGGGTGGTCCTTGCGTGCAGGAAAGGAGACGAAAGGCGTGGAGCACCCCGAGCACTTTTCCTTCCTTCCTGGCCTTGGCCTTGGCTCAGCCCTTCCTCCTTCCTGGCCTGGCTCCTTGGCTCTGTCCTGCAGCCTGGATGGGCTCCTGGGGGCTGCCACTCCAACCCGCTCCCTGCAGGTCCCCCCTCTGCCGGACGCTGACCCCCCCAGAGCCCCGACAAGCCATGGAGGGAGAGCCCACCCTGCGCCTCCGGATCTTCGACCTCAACTGCTGGTGAGTCCAGACTTTGCCAGGTCCGTGCCAGGCAGTGTGGGTGGAGATAGGGGCACCACACTGGGGGAGCAGTCCCACCTTGGGGTTACCTTCATGGCCCCTTCATTTTGGGGTCACACCACTCTTGGTCATGAGGTTCTTGGCTGGGTAGTGCTTGGCTTGTTAGCCCCAGAAAGAAAAACCCATTTGCACCCCAAGCAAGGATGAGTGTCTCAGTTCTGCAGGCAGGAGAAGCTGTCCCCAAACAGCCTCCCTGCATGTTGTCCCCATGTCCTCACATGGCCCTTTCCTGTTCCCATCTTTCCCATCTGCATCCTGCTTCTGCTGGTACTGGAGCCCTCTTTCTCTCCCTCATTTCGGGTCACAAAGGGCCCCGTGACCCTGTCCCCAGCAGGCTGTGACTGTCACCCCTGTCTGGCAGGGCCATCCGGTACCTGAGCAAGCGGCGGCAGGAGCGCGTCCGGCTCATCGGGGACACGCTGTGCCACGAGGGCTTTGACCTGGTGCTGCTCCAGGAGGTGAGGGCAGTTTGTGAGCCAAGTGCACCCATTGCCAGCCTGGGAGATGGGCATGGCTGTTCTCAGCCTGTCCCTCTGTCCTCCAGGTGTGGAGCGAGCAGGACTACAGTGACCTGAAGGTGAAGCTAGCAGGCTGTTATCCCTTCTCCCATTACTTCCGCAGGTGAGAAGGGCAAGGTCAGCCCCCGGCGCTGTCTGTGGGAGACTGAGGTGGGACCCGGGCACCCGGGGAGTCCTCCTAGGACAGGGCTAGGGCAAGGCAGAGGTTTTGGGAACCTCGTCTCCTCACTCTGCTTCTTCCCTCCCACAGTGGGGTGATCGGCAGCGGCCTCTGCGTCTTCTCCAGATTCCCCATTCTGGACACACTCCTCTACCAGTACTCACTGAACGGGTACCCCTACATGGTAAGTGGGGTGGGGGGCACGTGGCACCATGGTGTCCATCCCCACAGAGCCTCAGCAGCCCTGACCTGCCCTTCCTCCCCCTGGCAGCTCCAGCACGGGGACTGGTTCTGCGGCAAGTCCGTCGGTCTTGTCATTATGAAGATCTCGGGGATCATCTTCAACATCTACGTCACCCACGTGAGCAACCCAGGGAAGAACCCAGCCAGCATGGGGGAACAATGGGGAGGAGGGCAATGAGTGGCCATATTCCTCCTTTACTGTCCCCTTGCTTTAACCACTGCTTTCCACCTTCTGCCCTGGACTATGCGCTGATTTAATAAATTATCGCTCAGGGCAGCAGGGAGGGACCCATAACCTGGCTGTGCACTGGGGTGGCATCTCGTGGGGGTGACATAAAGACAGAGGTGTTGGCAGGGACAGTTTGGAGGGGTTGGGTGGGTTTGCAGGGAGCCTGGGAGCAGGGCAGGAGTCACAGCCCCTCTGCTTTCCCTCTCTGTCCAGCTGCACGCCGAGTACTGCCGGGACAAGGACGCCTACCTGCCCCACCGCCTGGTGCAGGCCTGGGAGCTGGCACAGTTCATCCGGTGAGCAGCTGCAGGGTGTCCCCCTGCAGGTCCCCAGCACGTGTGTGGTCACCCCTGCCCCTGGAGCTCCCCTTTGCGCCAGTCCCAGGCAGGAATAAGCTGGAGGAGCACTGGGCAGGTCCCAGTCGCTCCAGGCAGGGCAGGGAAGGACAGCCACCCCTGTCCCCACAGACACACCTCAAAGGCAGCAGATGTGGTGCTGCTGGGAGGGGACCTGAACATGCACCCTGAAGATGTGGGCATCCGGCTGCTGCGGGGCTGGACGGGGCTGCGGGACGCCTTTGCTGAGGCGGCGCACTTTGAGGTGAGCTGAGGGGCTGCGTGGGGTCCCAGGCACACCAAGAGCCCCCGGCCCACCCAGGCTCTGCTCTCAGGGCTGTAAGAACGGCTGCACCCTCATCCCTGACAACTGCTTCGCTGCCAAGTCAGAGCTGCTGCCCTTCCCGCTGGGCATCCGCATCGACTACATCCTCTACAAGGTAACGGGGGTGTCTGCCCGCCGGCTCTGACTGGTGGGGTGAGGCACAGGTGTGACCCCCTCGTCCCCTCCAGGCCATCTCCAGCTTCACAGTGAAGTGTGCAGAGCTGAAGACCACCATGGGGCGAGCCCCAGGCGTGGACATCCCCTTCTCAGACCACGAGGCCGTGATGGCAACACTGCACATCCAGAGGCAGGGACAGCCTGCAGGTGCCACCCTTGGCACAGCTGGTAGGTCGGGGGGCTGCTGCCAGCATCCACTGTGTGCTGAGGGGTTGGTGGGTGGAGTTGGGTGGAGTTTTTTGGGGATGTTTTTCCTTGCGGTGCTGCTTGTGGAAGGCTGCAGGGCGGTGGGGATGGGGAGGCGGCTATTGGGGTGGGATGGGGGGGGTATAGGGATGATATATGGGGGTCCCACCCTGCTGAGGGCCTGTGTCCCCACAGACCCTGCACTGGCAGATGTGGTGACAGAGGCACGGACAGAGGTGGGCGTGGGGCTGCAGGCGGCGCGGCGGCAGCGCTACTCCTCGGGCAGGATGGCCGTGCTGGCCCTGCTGCTGCTGCTGCTCCAGGCCCTGGCTGCGCTGGGCACACTGGCTGGACTGGGCACAGAGCAGCCCTTCCCCAAGCTCTCCTTCTGCCTGCTGGCCTTCCTCGCCCTCGGCGTCCTCATCCTCGCCAGCGGTCTCCACCTGTTCCACACCATGGAGGTGAAGATGCTGCACGGCACCGAGGACCAGATGTGGATGGTACTGAGGGCCCTGCAGGAGCGTCCCAGCGAAGGCTGAGCTGAGGCTCTGGGTGTCCCACAGTGTCCCCTTGGTCACACTATGTCCCCCATTTCATCCAGCATCAGTTCTTAGGCAAGCAGCACTGCAGCAATGCAGCAGTGCAGGTTTGGCAGCTGCCTCTGGGTGAAATTAAGGTTTTTGGGGTAGATTTATTGCATTGACCCCTGTGAGAACCACAACGGAGGCAGATTTTTATTGCTGTCTTTTTAAATACACTCTTTTGTACATGGAGGGGCCCTCTGGCCTGGCTGGAAGGCTTGAGACACTGAGGCTCCCCTTGCCTGGGGCAGCCTCAAATTTTACACTGGTGGCTGCTCCAGCAACCAGTCCTGACTGATGGAAAATAAAGGCGATATTTTAACATCTGGCACCGGGTCATGGGGGCTTTATTTGAAGGGAGGGGGTTTGCAGCAGGATTGTAGGTCTGGTACAAACAGGGAGGGCTGGAGGAGGTGCTGAGGGGATGGCAGGGTGAGGGCTGAGCACAGGGTGGTGTTGCTAAGAGAGGAACCTGTGCCTGGGACCCCCATCCTGACACATGGGCACCGTTTGGCCACAGAGGCAACAGCCAGGGACTCCAGGGGCATCTGAGGTCTGTGCAGAAGAAATCCCAAAGGGGCAAGGAGGGCACAGCCACTGGTGTCCCTTGTCCTTGGTGTTAACAGTGCTGGCCCTGAGCACAATTCCCATAGGAGTTCCTGGACCAAAAGCCCTTCCCTGGTCCAAGGGGTTCATGGTAGGGTTCTGACCCTGGTTTCCTGCAGCAGCTGGGGACAGCGTGGACGTGCCATCCAAAAGCAGCGGTGCAGAGCAGCTGGACTAGCCCGGTCTGCCTGTCACTGCCCCAGCTTGTACAGCCAGATGTCCCTTGAGATGGACAGTCCAGACTGGGATGGATGCCCTCAGCTGGGAAGGATGTCCCAGGGTGGCTTGGAGGGACCATTCCTGAAGGTGCCCCTGCACATATGGCATCTGCCCTGTGGCCTGTCACCTCCTTGCTGCTGGGAGCCACCACAGCTCCTTCTGCAGTCCCCTGCGAGTCTTCTTTTCCAGCAAGCACGAGGCAAAGGCAATCCAGCCACGCACAGGAATGTCCTCTCAGCACCCTGAGAGCTTCTCGGTGTCTCCTCCTGTGGGCATCCACCAGCGGGCCTGGCCCCTCCATGACGGACTTTGGCAAGCGGGAAGCTGGATTTGCTGTGGCAGCTGCTGGCACGGGGGGCATCGCCACCTCCAGAGGCAGCTCAGGGTGATGCCCAGCCCAGAGTCACTCACACACACTCTGCTTGTCCCCAGGGAGGACGTGGTGGCTCCGGGGCTGTGCGGGTCAAGCCCGCAGCTCACTGAGCCGCTTCTCCTCCTGCAACTGGATGAGGACGTTCCGCTTATTCACCACCTCCACCAGCTGCTTCAGGATCTCCTGCTCAGCCTTCTCATCCTCGGGTGTCTTCAGGGCATCTGTGGGTGCAGGGGGCCACAGTAGAGCTGGGGAGGCCACAAGCCCTGACCTGCTCCCTGCACCGTGCAAAGGGATCCACTCACCCTCCTTGTTCATGTAGCTCCGGAGCTTCTTGTCCAGCTGACACTGCTGCTCCTCCAGCTTCAGCTCCTGCACCCTGTGGGGAGGAGAAGGGTGTGCTGTGTGTACCCACACAGGTACAGTTTACAGGGGATGGGCTGAGCTGAGCCCCCACACCGACCCGGGAGCATCCCCCGAGCCTCACGCGATCATGAGGTCCGACTCCTCGGTCATCAGGTTGTTCTTCTTCTGGACCAGGTAGAGCAGCTGGTTTGTCCACTGTGTCTGCTGGTCAGCCGGGCTCTCTGCAGGACAGGGGAGTGGTCAGCAGGGCGCAGACCCCCACTGCAGGGTCACAGGGCTCTGCCACCCTGGCATTACCATTCTCATCCCGGAGTAACTTCTCCAGCTTGATGCCCTGCTGCTCCAGTTCCCGGAATGTCACCTCGATCTCCTCCAGCCGCCTCTGGATGGCCTGGAAGAGAAGGGCAGCGCTCAGCTGCAGGCCAGCACCCGCCAGCATGTGGCCACCAGCAGCAGGACAGAGGGGACAGGGCACAGTGCCACGCTGGCTCTGCCCATGGGGTTACCTGGGCTCTGCAGAACCTCTTCATCTGCGATTCCCTGGCCCGGCGGGCCAACGTGCGCTTCCAGGTGGGGTATTTCTCCTCTTCCCTGGGGTCTGGGTACTGTGAAAGGAGGGTGGCACGGGCAGGGGGTTCAGTCCCTGCCCAGGCACCTCCTGCCTTGGCTGCCACAGCTGAGCCAGACCTGATGCTTCTGTGAGAGGAGCAAGAGCCCCAGCTACCGCCTGTGCTGGTGGAGCCACCATCACTTGAGAAAATCCTCACCAGCTCTTTCATGATGCCAAGGCCTGTGTCCTCCTCCTCCTCTTTCTCCTCCTCCTCCTCGCTGTCACTGTCCTCCAAGTCTGCCCAAGAAAAGAGCTGTTTCAGGCTGGTTCCTCACGAGCAAGAGGTGGGATACAGCAGGGTCCTGGAGGGACTGAAACTCTGCTCATCCACCTACCTTTCTCCATGTCAGTTTTCTCCTCCTCCTCCTCCTTCCAGGCGCCTTGTCCCTGCCGCAGGGCAGGGAGGGCCTCGGGTGCTGCTTGGAGCCGCAGACGAGCTGGCTTCAGTGGAGGCTTCAGTGGAGGCTCGGGCTCTGCTTCGCTGGTGAGGTTCAGTGTGGACAGACAGAGCTTCTCCAGCGGTGTCAGGACAATCTTCCTCCTGCCCCCACTCTCCTCACCCTCCTCTGCTGTCCCTTGGGGCTCCGCTCTGGGCACCTCCTCTTCCCTCACGTCCCCCCCAGGCTGTGCCAGCAGCTCCTGCTCCTCCACCTCACCCGTATCTGCGGTGTCCTCAGCGTCCCCAGGCTCTTCCCCTGCCTGTGGGGCTGCAGGAGTGGGCTGAAGGGGACTGGGTGCCCACGCCACGGGGGACACACCTGACCTTCCAGCACCTGGGGGTGGGTGGGCAGCAGCATCAGCATCCTACGGCAGAGCAGAGCAGAGCGGTGAGGCAGCACAGGGCCACACCCAACCACCCCCCTAAACATTTCGCCTTTCCTCCATCACCTACAGGGCCTTAGGGTGATTTACCCCATCAGGCAGCGCTGCAGCCTCATCCCGGGGCAGGTCCATGCTGGCTGGATTGGGGTAGTGCAGCGAGCAGTAAAAATGACCTGGTGGGGTGGGGAGGGAGGGAGGGAGGGAGAACTCATGTAACAACCTGCAAGGTGGAGAAGTCGTGGCCCAAGCATTCCCTCTCCCCAAAAGCCGCCTCACCATCCTCCTCGTCGAAGGCGTAGTCGCCCAGGCGCAGGGTGGCCGCGCAGCGCCGGCACTGGAAGCAGCCGCGGTGGAAGAAGCGTCCCTCGGCGCTGGCTCGCTCCACGATGTAGACACGGCGCCCACAGAAGTAGCAGGCGTCACTGTTGTCCCCTGCCCTCTCCCTCGGTGGCTGTGGGGGCAGAGGACAGGCAGGGCTGGCACCGGGGGCCTGGCACCCACCCTGCCCTGTGGCTGTGCCAGCAGCCATGGGGGCACAGGGCAGGGCTGTGCCCCTCTGGCAGCGCTTGGGATGGGTGAGGGAGCGGCAAGTCTTGGCTCCGGAAAACCAGTCGGGTCAGGAAACAGGCAGGGAGGAGCTGGGAACATGTGGGCGTTCGCTTGTGCAGCCCTGCTCCCAGCCCTTGGCTTGGCCCTGCCAGCCATGCTGCCCTCCCAGTGCCCCCCTGCCCTGAGCTGGACCCTCCATCCCAAGGTGACACAAGGACCAACCTGCCCTGGGTCCATCACGGTGGGTTGTGGCAGCTCGTGGGCACTGTCCTGAGTGTCTCCATCCAGCCCCGTGTCCAGCTACAAGTGACCCAAGGGGAGGGTCAGCCCCCCACTCTCCCCCCGGGACAGCTGCACCCCCCTTGGGGCACTGGGGCAGACCCACCTCGGTGTCCCCGCGGCTCCTCTTGACCTCACTGTCCTTCTGGGCACCGTCCTGCAAATCCAAAGGGGGTGGGAAGGGTGGGAGTGGGACAGGGTTTTGGTGCTCCGTGAGGCTGTGGGTGGGGTTCTCACCTGGGTACGTTTGTGTGCCAGGGTCCGGCTCTTCTGCAGCTTGCTGAGGAAGAGGATGGCCCCTCGTGTGCCTCGGGGAGACAGCGGCTTCTTGCTGACCTCCACCTCTGCACAGGACATGGCCATTTTGGTGGGACCCACCCAACAAAGAGGACAGCGCCCAGCCAGCCCCAGTGCAGCTCAGGATGGGACAAATCCCCCCAAAATCTCACACCTGGAGAGGTCCCAAAAATTTGATAGAAGTGGCTGAGGTAGGTGATGAGGCCCAGGCAGTCAGGCTCTGTCATGGTGGCCATCTCAGCACTGGAGAGGACGGGCTGGATGCCCAGCTCCTGCTCTGCTATGTCCAGCAACATCTGGTGGGTCCGAAGGGCATCCTGGGGCTCCACAGAGTCAAAGTCCCTGTGGGGGGACGTGGCTGCCATCAGGGTGGGCTCTGCAGGGTGGAGGGTTTGGGGGTCCCAGGCACTCACACCAGGTCGGGGCGGAAGCGGTGGATGAGGGCGCAAAGGGCCAAACCACTGGTCCAGGAGGTGCTGAAGTTGGTGACGGCCACGCCAGGGTATCCAGCTGTGCTGGCCTGGCACCAGCTCAGCAGCTCTTCAGAGACAGCTCCAGGGGCCACTGGGGAGGCACAGAGAGGGGACACAACCCCCCAGTCCACCTCCTGCCTCAGACTCCCTGCTTTAACGGGGAAGGGAGCAAGCTGAGACACCCCCTGTCCCCACAACCCTCCCCACAAGTCTCAATAACTATGCTGAGGAAGCATCTGTCCATATTTCATGGCTCAGCATCAGTGCAGCCTGGAGGGGCACAGCCTCCTCCCCAGAAGGCAGCAGGGGCCGTGTCCCCACGTGGGCCACAAGCAGAGGGGTATCACCCCACTGGTGTCACCAGGCCAGCCTGCTGGACACAGAAACAAGGATGGGGAGGAAAACCAGGGCAGGAGCCACTTGGGCATGGGCTGCTGGAAGGAATGGGGCAGGTGTGGTTGCTCCTACCGGTGCTGAGCCGGTTGTCACTCTTCCTCTTGTGGTCCACCTCCACCGTGCCCACGAGGTAGAGGTCCCTGACCTGCCAATAGGGACATGCCAGTGGTGGGTCACCGCCTGTACAGAGCCAATGACACCACACAGGGAGGTGGCCCTGGCAAGGGGGACACTGGACACCCCCCACATCTCTCCAGAACCCTCCGCCATCCCCAATGGGCAACACATTCAATGTCCTGTGTACTAACAGCTTCAGTCTGGCTCTGGGCACAG